CTTGACTCGGCCATCAACAGGCATGATCTTCTTCAACTCGGCAACAAGGAACTGAGTTCGACTTGTAGCTGCACGAGGCTTGATAGCATGTGTCTGACAAGTATGATTGGCTTCAAGATTGCGTACACGGAAGACCCCGTCTTTGCCCCCAACCGATGCATAGAATCCACGCTCTCCACCCTGCACTTCACAATCAGCCGACTCTTATCACTCTTGCTAATGCGGTGGGTTGCTGCCTGGCTGTTGGAGAAGCCTGTGAGAGCATTTCGAGCATCATCAAGCGAGGCAAATTCTTGCCCAATGAAGATAGTGTTGGCCATGGCGAATGAAGTGTGTACGTGTCCTCTGTTGACGCGCGATGACGCATCCCTCACTGAGGGCATGGTAGATGACACCGGACATATAGACATCTGCACGACGCGCGAGGGCATCCTGGAAGATTTCTCCCTCAGCGCACTTGGTGACTCTCCATCTATCGGATCCCATTGCCCTCACCAGGTGGCCAAACCCTTCCTATGGCCATGACGGCCATCCAAGGTGTCATTCGGCTGCTTGTTCAGCGCTTCGCACCTGATTTGTCTGCGATATCTCTGTATTCGCCTATCTTATGCCCTCGCTGGAATAAACCTAAGATTCCACACCTGAATCTAGACTACATGCAGCGATCGTATACCTCAACAAGTACCTGACGCCTTACTGTGGCATGCTAGTAAGGTCGATGATACTTGTTCAGGCTTTCTGGTCCAGCTTCTATATGTTTCGTCTTGTGTCTTCTGCCTTTGCAGCAATCCTTTGCCCTCAACAAGTACAGTATGTATGAAAGCGGCCAGGACGTCTCAACTATGTATTGCAATGCCGGCTCCGCACATTCGACCACACCCTTTTCGTACCTTTGCCTCCCGCATCCATAGTCGTCCTACCTGCTCCACAAGCGTTCAATCTTCTGCTGTGGCCATGTATGCTACTCAGAGGGTGGACGATTTGTCGCTTGTTGAGCTCGTATGGACTGGTCCGTCTGCTTCTGTAATCTGCGGAACTTGCCCGCAATATCACTGTCTAACACGTACGGGACCATAATGATTTCTGCATGACTTGCAGACCTGGGTGTTGAGCTCAAAATCCCTGGCTGTTCAAGTTCTCTCTCTGATACAGCTCTTGTATTGCGCTTGCCTAGTGCTCGGCATGCTCTTGTTCCGCTCGGTGGACGTGAACAACATCTTGATGGACGCGGCGTTTGCTCCGCTCTTTGGGTTTCGACACTACAGAAATGAGCGAGGTGTGCTTTTGTACCACCGATCGCTATAGAGGACGATACATACATCTGTGTTCTCCAAAGAAGCTAGTCCTGATGCCACACGCACTCTAAAACGAATCTGAAACTCTCACTGGGGTTGTTCTGACTACCAGCTTCATTCTGTCGCGGTTCGTTTATCCCGACAGCGACAATCTTTTCACCATTGCTTATATTCCGCCTACTATACACTCGTAATACCATCCCAGAATTTCAAAATAAAGCCGAATCCAAACAAAAAGCATGAAGAAACTACGCCTTGTTGGCCGTCTCGATATACTCAATCTCTTGTGACTTCTCGTCGATCGGGGAAGACAAGCCGTTCTCGCTAGTCTCGGCACGCTCGCGCCCGGGGATATTGCCCGTACAAATGTGGTTCTTGAACTTGCGTGCAGGGAGGCGAAGCGCGAACTAAGGCAAGTCAGGCAGGCGTCATGCAGCGCTACATATGGCGAACATACCATCTCGTCCAGTTCCTCGAGGGTGCGGTCCTTCGTCTCTGGCATAACCCACCAAGTGACGATAGCTGTGATGGTACAGCTTGGGAACCAGATGTAGCCGTATTTTGGACCCCAGTTAAGAGCATCGGGGTTACTATGCACGCAGGTATGAGCATGAAGTCTCGTGATCGGAGCAGCACTTGTACATGAAATAGGGAGCAGTGAACGCCGCAAGCCAGCCTTGGAGGAAACCTACGCAAGCGGAAAGACCGAGCGTCATGGTCCTCAAGCGTTGTGAAGGGATTTCGGCGGCTTGGACAGAGTTAGACGGTCTTTCAGCTTCGTTGCTGAGGACGTACCCAGCAACCATGCGTAAGCACCGATACACCCGTTGTAGAAGACGATGTAGATCACACTCATTCCCACGATAACCTTCCCAGTAGTCTCGGTCCCAGGCGCGGCTTGATACACCGCGGCGGTAATAAGTTGGCAAATGCCCGAGAAGAAGATGCCGGTAAGGACGAGCGGGCGGCGGCCAACCTTCGTGATGGCATACCATGACAGCATGTTGACGATGACACCGACGCCGCTGAGGATACATGCGTTTTGGAAGGGCTGTCCGACGCCTGCCATCTCGAAGAAGTAGGTGCCGTATGAGATCATGTACATCGCGCCACTAGTGAACGGTATCAGGTTCTATCAAAGGGGGTTCTCGTTGCGAGCAACTCACCTGCCGCCGAGGAGAGAGATAGCAACCAAGCTGAGAAGAGTGCGGCGGCGATCAACTGGATCACGGAACATATCCCAGAAGGTCACATTGCTGTTGTTCTTCACTTCAGCCTCATGAGCGACTCTGATCTCTTCCATCTCCATATCGATGTAGTCCTTGTCGGGACGAAGCCAAAAGAGAGACTTCCGGGCTTTCTCGAACTTGCCATGTTCCACCAGCCACCGAGGCGATTCCGGGATGAAGAACATGCCGACGGCAAGGATGCAGGGGACGATGTATATCAGAGCGAGAGGGATCATGTAGCAGGCCCGCCCGTCGATCTGAGCGGTGAAGTTATCCACAACGGTGCCTACCAAGCTACCGACGGAGCACCACCATTGGAACACGCCCATAGAGAGGCCACGGAAGTGAGCGGGGGCACATTCCTGTTGTGCATCAGAAACAGAACGAAAATGCTGCGAAGAGGCGTACGTTGATGTACAGCTGACTGAAGGTCATGAACCAACCATTCGCAATGCCAATGAGCAGTCGACCAGCGTACAGACCGCCAATGTTGGTGGTTCCAAGCATGATAGAATTGGACATTGCACAGAACAGACAGGCCAGCCATAGGGAAGAACGACGACCAAGGTAATTGCCAATAGGACCTACATCGATTGGCATCAGTCCTGTATACTCATAAACGAGGAAATGTAAAGTACCGGCAGTTACTGAGCCCACACAGGCTCCGAGAGTCATCAGATCAACTGCTGAACTTCAGGAGAGATGTTCCATCCGACAATGGCATTTGGGTCTTCATAACCGAAGACCTAATGAAACGGAGTTTAGTATCTCAAAACGATAGAAGTGGGGACTGCACATACCTTCAAGAAGCCGATCATGGCTTGAAGACCTCCGATGAGACCGAAATCGATGCCGTATTGGAAGGGCGACATGGATATAAGGGTGCATGCTACCATGGCCTTCCAATTATACAGCCACGAAGTACGAGGAAGTGAAGCCATCTTCGACCTGAGTGGTGAGAGGCGATATTCCGAGAGACGAGAGTTGTCGGTGTTCGACTCTCTCGGTCACGTCTTATATATTGACGAGCATTTGTAAGGCCTGTTAGACGCGCACCACTTCCCATGCAATGCATGCGAAAAGCACGAGTGAGAGAAGCTCGGTCAACTGACCATTCCTGCCCAACACAAAGCTTCGAAGCGACGAAGGGCTCGGGATAAGGTACCGTGGATGGAAGCTAATAGTCGGGAGCAGACTTGCAGCCAGGTGCGGGGTAGTGCGGGGAAGAGAATGGAGTTCGCGGCATATCGTCAATGTTCTTGATCCGTTTGGGTTCGGCCATAATGGTGGCCTGGGCGTAACGGGTAAAGAAATGCTCCATTTGTCCGTCGAGTGAAAGAGTCCCGAGCTTCCTTTACGACAAAACGTAGACCTCATTTTCTGTACAGGCTAAACCATTGAACTGCAGAGGTCGTGAGGTCTTTGTCGTCACTCGTGTGGATGTCAAAATGCCTGTCATTGCGTGGTCCTGGAGGTAGGAGGAGGCCATCGATATGAGCAGTATTGTAGATGGCAGTTGGGCGCGAGGGACCACATGTCACCACGATGAAAGAAGTACCCTCACGGGCGGCACGTGTTGTTTGGGATCAATGTTATAACCGCCTTTCCAAAGGCAGATCCAGCCGGCAAAGAACTACCAGAACGAGACAAAAAGCGAGCAAACATCACAACATTGCAGGGAGAGAGTTGTAGGAAATTCAGCGAAAACATCAGCGCTTTGTTGCCAAGGAGCTTCTGGAATTGTAGATTTGAATACATCAAGATGTTCAAGATGGTCGTTATTTCGGGGTCTGCCTAGTCAGAAATCACGTCCCCGGAAGAAATTAGAAGGGTCCAAATAGAGTTCACGTGCACATGACGACCGGGATATTGCTTGGGCCGTATCTCCGAGCATCCTCCATCATCCTTCGACTCCAGGCGACATCAGCTGCAAGTGTTAAAACTCTCTCCTGCAAAGGATGAATAAATCTGGCAATCGCGAGGCATGTCTGCTCTTTGAGTTCTTGGCAAGCCGACAACGAGGACGAGCATGGCCCAAACAGAACGACAAATTCTCAGAAACGCCTAACACGTCAAACTCTAGGAAGGGTCTCTACGAATTCTACACTCTCTGTCTTTTCTTCGACAGGTGACTCAGTCGAGTTGCCATCTATAGATGCTGCATCGGTCTGTGGTCTGGTCAAACCAACGCAAACGTAGCTCTTGAACTTGCGCGCGGGCAAGTGTGCAGCAAACTGGACGTGCGTTAGCCTCTCCGCGCAACAAAATATTCAAACCTCCTACCATCTCATCAAGTTCCTCCAGGGTACGGTCCTTCGTTTCCGGCATGACAAAGAAGATTGCGATCGCGGTGATCGTACAACTTGGGAACCAGATGTACCCATATTTAGCAGACCAGTTCCTGCCGGCGTGCCGTAAAGTCAGGGTAGAGGTGGAGGAAAAGAACAAGGAGACTCACAGCGCGTCGGGATTACTGTACGCGGCAAAAGTGAGTGACCGGTACAATGGTATTGGCAGATCCACTTACATAAAGTATGGCGCAGTGAAGACTGCCAGCCATCCTTGAATGAAGCCAACACATGCCGACACACCTAGTGTCATGGAGCGAAGCCGTTGCGATGGTATTTCCGCGCCTGGGAAGGTCAGACTCAGAATCATGCAATATTAGATCCGACCAAGGAATCCTACCCAGCACCCAAGCGTATGCGCCGATGAGACCATTGTAGAAGACGATGTAAACCACGCTCAAACCGACGATCGCCTTACCCGTCTCTGATGTCCCGGGGTTCAGGGTATACACAATGGCCACAATGAGCTGGACAATCCCAGAGCCGGCAATACCCGTGATGACGAGGAATCTGCGCCCTACTCTGGTCACCAGGAACCAGGACAGCATGTTGGCGATGACGCCGACGGCCGTCAGAATGCATGAGTTCATGAATGGACTCCCAACATTCGCCATCTCAAAGAAGTATGTCCCATAAGAGATGAGGTACATCGCTCCGCTGTCGAACCTATCAGCGGCTTTCTGTCCGGTTCACGATGAGCACAAACCTGGCGCCTAAGATGGAGATGGCTGCGATACTCAGCAGGGTACGACGACGATCGACAGGATCCTTCCAGAGGTCCCAGAACGTAACTCCAGCCGTGCTCGATGCATGAGCCTGCTTCGCAGCCATGATCTCGGCGATTTCTGCTTCGATCACTTCCTTGTCCGGGCGCAGCCATTCGAGAGACTTGCGACCGGCTTCCAGCTTGTCGTGTTCTATAAGCCAACGAGGTGATTCTGGGATGAAGAACATCCCGAGGAAGAGGACACATGGAACGGCGTAGATAAGGGCGAGTGGGATCATGTACGATGCTCGGCCGTCGATCATTGCCGTGAAGTTATCGACGACTGTTCCGATCATGCTTCCCACAGAGCACCACCATTGGAAGAAGCCCATGGCAAGACCACGGAAATGCGGGGGAGAGCATTCCTGGAGATCAGACCGAGTCAGTCACAACACGTCATCTACGATCGAGGGACTGACATTGATATACAACTGGCTGAAGGTCATAAACCACCCGTTGGCGATCCCGATCAAGAATCGCCCCGCGTACAAACCTCCAATTGTGGTTGTCCCAAGCATAATAGAGTTCGACGCAGCGCAGAGGATGCACGCAAGCCATAGTGCAGGCCGTCTACCCTTGTACGCGCCAATCGGACCTGCTGAGAGAGAGCCTGCGCACGCCCCGAGTGTCATCAAGCTAGAGATGAGCTGGTGCACCTTGGGAGTGAGGTTCCACCCGTTCGGCGTAAGCGGGTCGGCGTAGCCGAACACCTGTTCCTCTCAACACATTGCCCCGGTAGCGCAAGCAGCTGCCCACCTGCAGGAAACCGTTCATGGCTTGCAGCCCTCCGATCAGGCCATAGTCAACCCCGTATTGGAAGGGTGACATGGAGATAAGCAGGCATGCAAGCATGCTCTTCCAATTATGAAGCAGAGAAGTACGGGGAGCTGCGGCAGACGTGCACGGGGTGATAGGTGCCTTGTGAGACAAGCAGCTGTTGGCAAGCACTTTGGTGCGGTATTTGAGCTCTCTCATCAGTATTCTCTGCTTGTGCCAACAACCTGCGCTCGGGTGTACGAGCGCAGGAACACATCAAGCGCCTCGAAGGGCAGAAGGCCCTAGTCGTCTTATCCACTCGATGGAGGAAGAGCAGGAGAACTGGAGAAGACCAGACTTGGCGGGAGGAAGGGACCGGTGGGAGGAGGGGATCGACACCTAGCGGCGTATAAAGAAGTGCTGCTTACCCCATCTGTACCCCACTCTCGGCGTGAGGCGTGATCAGATCTCCGCGGCGTGCACCCCTGCACTGTATTCGCTGGTTGATACGCTGGCCAAGGGCGGCAATCATTTCATGCGGGAACGAAGGCGAAGGGAGCGAAGGAAAGAGAAGGGGAGACTCGCCAAGCTAATCGAACGATATTGTCCTGTGTCCTGTGTACTGGGAGAAGATGTGCCTGAATGGTTTGGTCCGGGTTGGGCGTGGGTGCGTGGGAATGGATATGCATATGGATATGGGTAGGGGTATGGATAAGCTGAGGAACGGGGGAGATGATAGATGCTTCGAGTGTGGATGTGGATGCTAGCTCAAAGGGTCGTAGCCTTTCGGAGTGAAATGGAAACGAGCCACGAGCCACGAGCCGCGAATAGGCAACATCCACTGTATGCATGAGACAGCCCGACCGGGAAGTTGTCAAGTTTATGTGTGATAAGTCCTATAACATAGCCTGGCGAATATTCGGTGGGTCAGGTTCCTAGAAGGGTAGATGACTCCTTCCCGAGGATTATGTGGGTTGACGTAAGCCCATCTGGCAGAGGAGGCGTTATGCAGAGCAAACGAAAAGGCAAGGATAGGGATGATCATTACCCGGTGTTTGCACACGATCAAAGGAGATGTATACCGAAAGAAATGGGGAACCCCAGGATCGGAAAAGAAGTATCATCCGGATCAGAGCGCTATCCCCACCCCCAGCGCTAGGCCGACAACCGCCCAAGCCACTACGGCTCCCTCTCCCAGCCCTACGCCTCCCCGAGCAGCAGACGTCCCCCCTCCCCCTCCCCCTGTCGGCTGTCCATTCCCCACCACGACAGTCGACGTGCCCGTGTCGCTGCTGGGGGAAGAGGTAGCGCTGGCTGTGGGCTGGGTGGTGAGGGTGCTCGTTAGTGCGTAGGCGCAGAGGGCTTCGTAGGATGATTCTGGGGGTTGTTAGCCATGGATGCAGACAGGAGCACAGGACAGGAAGGGAGGAGAAAGTGGGAAGTGAGAAGTGAAAAAGGGAGGAGGCAAGGAGACGTACCAGGTATCCCAGCAATCCCGATCACGCAAAAAAAGCAGTCTCTGCTAAGCTTACTAAGCCCATTGCACAAACACGTCGGGTCCCCGCTCTGGCACGTCAGGGCGTCCTTGCTTGCTGTTTGGTCTGAAGGGGAGGAGCAGGAGGAGTCGCAGAGGGTGATGTTTGGGGGTGAGTAGGTCGAGGTTTGTGGGAGGAGGGTTGAGGGAGCGGGGGAGGAGGAGGGAGGGGCGGTGGGCTTGTCTGTCCCTGTGCCGGAGGCTGGGGTGTGTTAGCGCACGAGGGGAGGGAGGAGGAGGGGGGACGAACAGCTGTACAATCCCCCGAGGGTGGCACCGTTCGCCCCTGGCTGGCAGGTGGACTCTACGACGTTAACTGGGGATGAGTCAGCCTTTGCTCTCTGTGTTGGAGGGAGGGGAGGGGCGTACTGTCAATGTTCTCGAGCTGGAGGATACAAAAGAGGCAGGACTGGGAGAGCTGCTCGATCGCGGAGCAGATACAGTCTGCATTTTGTCAGGGGCGGCTATGGTACTTGTTGAGCAGGAGGGAGAAGGGGAGTGCGTACTAAGGTCAGAGTCGCTGCATCCCTAGGAGTGGGTTAGCACGGGGAAGGGAAGAGAGGGAGGGAGGACGCACAGCAAAGGTCTGGAGAGCGGCTACGTCCGAGTCGCTCATACAGAGAGAGACACATTGGGCTTGTCGTTTGTGTATCGAGGCGAGGGGGTTGAGGGCGATAGTCTGGGGATGGGCAAAGATGGTTGTGAGGAGGGAGAGGAGGGTTAGGAGAGGGAGGAGGGAGTGCATCTTGCAGACTGGGTGAGATGGATGTCCAACGATGCAAGATGGTTAAGAGGAAAGTCTGATTCTCCAAGCGCCCACTAACCCCTTCCACCGTCCATTCATATTTAGACTCGGGATTCCCGTCATCCTTCTGCCCATTAGCGCTGTTCCCGCGAGTCAAACGGGGGTTGACAGGGATGGGCAGTGTAGAGAGGAAGTGATAGGTTATTGCTAGGAGAAGGGGCGGATGTGACCCTGAGTTGAGGCTTGGCAGGAATTGCACTGGGTTATTTATGGCATGTTGACAGGCGAGCTTGAGTCCAGTGTGCTCCGATATCACGGACTATGCAAGTTTGGAATGCTGTGCAGTAAACAATATCGTTTAATCACAATATGGTGATATTGACAAGAAGATGGTAAGGGAGTGAAAGCAAGTACTTAAACCTGAGGTTAGCGCGGAAGAAGCAGCGGGCGCTTCTTCAACCCTAACCTAAACGGACTCAAATTTCCCTGCCTTTGACGCGTTTGCCACTCCCAAAAGTTGACCACCACCTCACCTTCCCTCCTCAACCAAAAGGCACTCCTGCCAACCAACAAAACATGAAAGTAACAACACTACAACCATCACAAGGTCCCACACATCATTCTGCAGCCCCGGCAGAACAAGCACGTCAGCTCAGGGTCGCTAGTCATTCGCATATCAAGGGATTGGGACTGTCGGAGACGGGGGAAGCGTTGACCCAAGGCAGTGGGTTTATTGGTCAAGCTCAGGCGCGCGAGGTGTGTGTCTGCCTACCCGGGTTGATTAGGGAAGCGGGAAGCTGAGATCGGTTGGACAGGCATGCGGCGTCGTCGTTGACCTTATACGACTACGTAAGTTCTCTGGTCGCGCACTGTTACTCGCCGGCCCGCCTGGGACGGGAAAGACAGCGCTGGCGATGGCGATCTCCCATGAGCTTGGGACGAAAGTCCCGTTCAGGATCTTAGTAGCGAGCGAGGTGTATAGCGCGGAAGTGAAGAAGACTGAAGTGCTGGCGGAGAACTTCCGGCGGGCGATTGGTGCGTTTTTTCTGAGGTTGGGGGAGGCGTGCTTATCCGATATTCGGGGTTGTAGGGATACGAGTGAAGGAGACGAAGGAGGTCTTTGAGGGGGAACTCACGGAGCTCACACCTACCGAAGCGCCAAACCCGCTTTCCGGGTATGGGAAGACGATTTCCCACGTCGTGATCGGGCTCAAGACTGTGCGCGGGACGAAACAACTGCGCCTCGATCCAGGGGTGTACGAGGCCATCCAAAAAGAACGCATCGTCGTCGGTGACGTGGTGTACATCGAGGCTAACACGGGCGCGGTCAAGCGGGTGGGGAGGAGTGATGCCTATGCGACGGAATTCGACTTGGAGAGCGAGACGTATGTCCCTCTCCCTAAGGGGGACGTACATAAGCGCAAAGAGCTCGTGCAGGACCTGAACTTGCATGATCTGGATGCGGCGAATGCGAGACCGCAGGGAGGTCAGGATATCATGAGCGTTATGGGACAGCTCGTGAAGGGCAGGAGGACGGAAGTGACGGACAAGCTTCGTGCGGAGGTGAACAAGGTCGTCAAGGGGTATGTAGATCAGGGAGTAGCGGAGATCGTTCCCGGGGTACTGTTCATCGACGAGGTGCGTTTTCTCCTTTCCCTGCAGCTGCATCTAATTACGTACGCATGCCCATCCAGGTCCACATGCTCGACATCGAGTGCTTCTCCTACCTCTCCCGCGCACTCGAATCCCCCATGGCCCCACACGTCATCTTCGCCACCAACCGCGGGCTCACCCTCGTCCGAGGAACAGACGACATCACCTCTCCGCACGGGATCCCCATGGACCTCCTCGACCGATGTCTTATCGTCAGGACGGAACCGTATAGGAGGGAAGAGATTAGGAAGGTGTTAGAGGTTAGGGCGGGGGTGGAGGGGTTGGCTGTGGGCACGGAAGCGCTGGATAAGCTTGCTGATGAAGGCAGTAGGAGCTCATTACGGTGCGTCACCTTCCCCCCATTCTCTCCTTCTCTCCCTTACCCCTCACTCACACTTACGCACTACACAGCTACGCCCTCCAGCTCCTCTCCCCATCCGCGATCCTCGCCCAGCTCTCGGGGAGGCAAGAGATCACCCCCGAGGACGTGCAGGAGACGCACGACCTTTTCTTGGATGCGAAACGGTCTGCCAGGGGGTTGGAGGATTGGGCTTCCGAGTCTGAGAGCAGTGGGCCCGGGGGGGGAGGAGCGGTGGAGATCAAGTAGGTTTTGCAGTGTAAGATACGTTGTGGTTGTGGTTGGGTGTATGCTCGTACTCTACGCGAGAAGATTCTTTTGAGGCAGTTGGACGACCACTACCCCCCAAGGCTAAGCCATATAAGCAAAAACTGAACAGTGCAAGCTGGTTCCTCTGTTTGTACATGTGTTCTAGGTCGGTACTCTTAGGGAGCAAGTACTGCGACTCCAGAGGCTGGGCCGCTTAGCCCTCGACAGGTCCGGGAGAGGGACTGAGTTGGCCTTAGGCGACATGTACCCTCACGACCGTGACGCCGTGACGCCGTAATATAACTTTGAAAGTCTTCTAAGCACCTCAGAAAATGACAGTGCACGAGGGGGATGCTTGAGGCTTGAAGAAGCGTGCAAATCGTGTCTGGATTCCTGCCGACCTCGAGCGAGCCAGAAGCTCTGCGCTGTCATATGCATTTGGAAGCTTCAAGCTACCGTAATGATTTGTTCCTGGTGGCTCGCCCACGTATGCTATAGATAGATTATTTAGTTTCGGCCAACGAACGGCAACTCCAATCTGCCCTGATCCAGCGGACAGTCACATGGACATGGCGGTCAATTCTTTCTTTCTTTCTAGACTGGATCGTAACGCATGACCGTAAGGTTACGGCAGCAATAACGGCGGTAATTAGAAGCCAAAGAGTTATTGCCGACCCTCTTTCCATCCGCGTGTGAGAAACTCCTGCTCCTCCTCCAATCTCCACCATAATCCGCTGCTCTTCGGTTAATCGTTTCCTCATCAGTGGAGGGTCAGGCACGAAAACGTCCTCCAATTCCTCGGAGTTCCGTGTGGTGCCCCGCATCGGATCCCCACATTCGCTGGTCGGCATGGACATGAGAAGCGCAGACAAGGACGGATAAAATGTATACGCCGGGAGCAGATGTTCATCAGCCGAAATCATAATTCTGGGAAAGAAGCGTCGGGGGTGCATAGATATTCCGCTGATTGACTTGCGTCTGGCTTATCCCAAGATCAGCAGGGCATAAAAGCCTTCCTCAAACCAGGAACGATGTATGCGAGGCCCGAACTTGTCCACCCCGACAAAGGGAAAGATCATCACCTTTTGGACGACGCACAGATACCTCGACATGTCTCCGAGCAACGAAAACCGTTTTTCTCTGCTCTTGAAGCACAAGAGGTGCATGGCAGCATGCATTCTCATCTCCATGAGCCCATTCCAGTACGGCATCGACTTTGGCTTGATTGGAGGGCTCCAGGCTATGGTAGGATTCCTCAAGGTATGTCGGTGCTTTCCCCCTCTAGATGTGACATTTATATACATTCTGAAGGTATTCGGGTATTCGGATCCCTCAACACCGATTGGATACAACATCTCGTCCGAGGTGCAGCAGCTCATCAGCTCGTTGATGACGCTCGGTGCCTGCGTCGGGTCCATCTCCGCCGGTCCTATTGGCGCGCAAATCGGCCGTCGTCATGCTCTTTGGGCCGCCTGCGTTCTCTGTGCAGTGAGCGATGCCATCATGCTCGGAACCACGAATGTCGGGGCCCTCTACGTCGGACGTCTTCTTATCGGCATCGCCAACGGCTGGTTCATGACATTCTCCCAACTCTACCTGAACGAAGTCGCACCCGCAGAACTCCGAGGCCTCACTCTTGGCTTCTTCCAGTGGTGGTGCTCTATTGGATCCCTCGTCGGTACGATCGTTGACAACTACACTGCACCGATTGATGGCCGCGCGAGCTACATGATCCCCCTCGCCCTGATCTATATCGTTCCCGTCATCCTCGCGATCGGCATGATCTTCGTCCCGGAGTCTCCCCGATGGCTTGTATCCAAGGGTAAGATCGAGGAGGCCCGTGCAAGCTTGCTCTGGCTGCGATCAGAAGGAGATAAAGTCGAGGCCGAGCTGACGCAAATCAAGGATGCCGCCAAGCTTGAAGCTGAGACCACCAAAGGCGTCACCTTCTGGGACATGTTCCGGAATCCGATTGACCGGAGGCGCACGCTGTTGTCCGTCATGGCTGTTTCTGTACAGGGCGCGAGGTAAGCCATCCTTCACCAAGTGTGCTGGATATGTCCTCACACAGTCCACAGCGGTGCGATGTTCATGCTGATCTACGGCACTTACTTCTTCGCCATGGCCGACGTCGGCCAGCCCTTCCAGAACTCCTGCATCCTCTCCGGCGTCGGGTGCATCGCCATCACTCTATCCTTCTTCCTCATCACTCGTGTTGGTCGCCGCCCGCTCATCATCATTGGCATCTTCATGTCCGGTGTATGCCAGCTTGCTGTCGCCGCCGTCTACCAGCATGCGCCTGGCACAGTCAGCACTGGCAAGGCGATCGTTGGCCTCAGCGTTGTATACATCATCTTCTACAACGGATGCATCAGCGCGTACGCCTGGCTGTTGGGAGGCGAAATCCCCAGCCAGAGGCTGCGGAGCATGACACTGGGCCTGAGCGCCTGCGTGGGCTTCATCCTTGGCTGGTTGGCCGCCTTTACCGCCCCATACTTCATGTGAGTGATCTTGTCCTGTTTACTTCGTGCTCTCTCTGACCCCTGTGTAGTAACCCAGAAAACCTCAACTGGGGCCCAAAATACGGCTACATCTGGTTCCCCTCCTGTGCAGTCACCGCCATCGCCCTCTATATCTGGCTGCCCGAGACGAAGGATCGCAGCCTGGAAGAGCTCGATGAGATGTTCGCTGCGCGCGTGCCCGCTTGGAGGTTCAAAGATTACGTGTGTCATGGGATCACCTTGGATGCAGAGGGCCATGCGCATATCGAGAAGGCTGGTGAGGGAAGCGGGGAAGAGACACCGGATGAGAAGGGGAGCGTGGAGTATATTGAGAGAGCAGGGAATAAGGCGTAGTTCTCTTGGCTGGGCCCGAAATGTGATGTCTCCCTTACGAATAACGATCCGGATTATTGTGGAATATATGAGAGTTGACAACACTTCGCGCAGCTGTGAGGTTTATCATCAATCTGACTTCTGTTCAGGATGTCTCTCGAGGCTGCGAACCAGGAAATGGACTTTGCAGGTCGCCCGAGCATCGTCGACATCGTAAAGATAGAGATGAACGAAAAAAAGACATAATTAATGTACATGTGGAAGGATCCCAACAAATAACAGTCAACATCACATACAAAGCATCACGGATGCCCTTCCGGCTTGTCAAACTTTTTGTTAATACTCTTGACCATATAGGTATCCTTCGTCCACCAATACCGTGACGCCATCTCCCGCAAGTCGGAGATGAAGTCCCTCGGGACGTCAAGAGCGGGGAAATGACCGCCTTTGGCGTGCGCTGAACACTCGTGAGTACCAACGCCTCGGAAGATGGGAAGGACGAACCTTTGTAGAACACCAGGGGTCCGCATCGTGAGATACTGCCGTAGTTCATCGCCCCGATCTCGTACGGCTGTCGTTCCTCAATAACGTGTCGCGATCGCAATCACAGCACTTGTGCACTTACGAAATACGAGAAGCCGAATCTGCATTTGATTCTCCACAAAGTCGAGCTGGTAGCCATATCGTTCCTAGCTTTTCCTGACATCTTGTATACGATTACGCTGGAGTGGAACGTGTTTGTGAGATAGTACAGGGCGACAGTGGCCAGGATGTCCTTGTCCGAGAGGAGGGTGGGGTCGGACCAGGCTTGGAACTTCTCCCCAATATAGGCAAGCAGAGCAAGAGGAGTATGTATGGCATAGCCGATCGTGCTAGGCTGAAGTGATGTAAACCCCAGGCTTAGAAGGAGGGGCAGAAGGACGCACCCTCGTCCCCTGGATCAGAGCGTACCCCCTCCCGCTCTCGCTGAAGTCTTCGTGCCTCCTCACCATCTTCACGTCAGTCGGGCTCAGTATCCAGCTCCTCGCCACAGCCTTCATAGACTTGACGTACCCGCCAATGAGCGGGACTGGGGCTAGGTAGTCGATGTATTCTGCGTAGGCGAGCAGGCCGCCTGGAGGGCAGCGGAACATGTTGAAATGCGCCAGGCGGCAGGAAGGGTAGACGGAGGCCATAATGCGGAGGATCATGGATCCCTACAAAGAGTGTGGTTAGGTATTGTGTGATAAGCTGAGAAAAGAAACGCACCCAATCCCCCCCTTGTGCGAAGTAGGTCTTGTACCCAAGCACCTCTGTCATGAGCTTGTTGTACACGCGCCCGGTGTCTTCGAGCGTCCAGGCCTTGCGTGGGAGTGAGGAAAACCCATACCCAGGCATAGAGGGGATGACGACGTTAAAACTATCCACTCAATAAGCCCCAGACTATGTCACACATGAAAGCCGGGCGTACGAGGGCATACAAGGCCCGGACGGCTTGTGAAGCTCTTCGATGACCTTGGCAAAGTCCCAGAACGTACCGGGCCAGCCGTGCATCAGTATCAGGGGGATGGCGCCCTCGTCCGGACTCGGCTGGTGCACATAGTGCAAAGTCATGCCTTCAATCTCGACGGTGTAGTGGGGAACCCTGCATGGCTGTCAGCTATGACAGGAAGGGGTGAAGAAACTAAACGCACGCATTCATCTCCGCCTCGACCTTCCTCCAGTTGAAGCCAGTCTCGAACTTTCGCTTGAGCTCTTTCAACCGATCGAGGGTGATACCGTCATCCCATGTCATACTGGGGACTTCGTGCTCAAGAAGATGAGACGAGGCGAGGGAGTCGTACATCTCCTTCACCTTGTCGTCTGAGAAGTGGACCGTGAACGGTTTTGGGGAATAGGTAGCCATGGCCGACGACTATGAGAGAGGGCTAGCACAAGAGAGTGGTGGGTATGGGCGTGAGGAGTATCAATCTGTACCCAGCCAGTAGTTGGTGGATGATGTCTACCGTGACATTATCAGGTTCCCCGTGGGGTTCAGAGACCGGTTCAACAAGGGATCGAGTCATTTCGGGAAGATCGGTCCTTACACGTTTCGGGCAAGTAATAACACTTCTACAAACAAAATTGAATGGAAATAGTCAAGAGATAGTTACAGAAGTCAGAACAATCGATGAAAATTTCTAGCGTCATGAAACGGCCAGCACTCCGCTGATACCATTTGGGTTTACGTCAAGCTGTCGTTCCACATCGTATCCCCCTCGGGCGGCAAAGGCGGGTACGTCAGACCTCCTGTGCCCGGGCGCACACTCGGGGCTCTGCTGTACATCCTCCCAGCAAAAGTCTCCCGTGGACTTCCATAGTCAGTCTCCCCATCTGTCGGCAGCGGGGGATAATTGGTCCTGTTGGTTCCAGGTGGGCGTACACTCGCTGGTCGAACACTTGGTGCTCGAGTATTGTGACGCCCTTCAACCGTATTTTCATAGCTACCCCATACCGTACCCTCTTCCGGTGGAAGGGCAGGGTACTGCGTCCCAGCTACACTAGGAGCACGCGCACTTTGCCGGCTCCCAGACCGGCCGGGAGGGGACAGCGTTGCGCCCAACATGACCTGTTCAGGGGGCGGCAGGGGGCTCCCTGCAACCGTCGGGGCACGTGATGCAGGCCGAGAGGTGTAAGAGTTGTTCATCTCTGCGTACGTCTGTGCGGGGGTGTGAGAGAACTGCGTGCGGTTGTCCGACGGCGGTAGGGGGTAGTTCACGGCTGATGGTGTACGGCCTAAGGGAGCATAGCCGGTGTTTCCTGGACTGATCGCGGCCGTTTGAGCTGTCGAGTATGGGAGAGGTATAGTAGCTGGGTCAACACCTGGTGGGTCGTACCAGCTTGCGGAACGACTTGGTGCCCTGACTTGGGCAGCGGGCCCCACATCAGGGGCGACGACGCTGACTGGCCGACTGGCAGCTCGTGAGCCCGGGCGGGAAGCCGACAGTCCGTTGGAAAGCCTTGCAGGATCGAGCGCGCCTTGCGGTTGAGGCGCGACGATGTCGTCCATAGGCTGAAGAGGCACTGCACGCATGCTCGCTCGGCTAGGTGCTCTGCTCGGGGCGCGGGAGAAGTCGTATGACTTCTCACCCATTCGTTGGGCTTCGGCTTCCGTCTGTGGGAGGACACCACGTGTAGGCTGGACCTCGTGTGGTGGGGGAAGACTGATTGACTCGTTTTCTCTGATGACTGGAACGTACCCATCGGGGATGTCGAGCATGGGTGTGTGTGGGCGAGACGGGGTGGGTGAGATGCTCATCGGCTTTGACAGGTTTGTGGGTGCCAGCATAGGAGAACGCCGGGGCACATCGGGGATGACTGGAAGAGGGTTGAACTGCTGGCCAGGCGAGAGCTGGAGGGCGGTAGATGCTCGCCTGCTCGGTGGTGCAAATGCTGGCACTGCCGCAGGGACGAACTGCGGCTGTTGGACGTTCACAGGAATCGGCCGGGGGGGAGGTATAGGAGATCTAATAACCGATCGACCAGGCGAGCGTACAGGCGAACGCATATGCATCCCTTCGGGCGGGGAGGTGACGCGATTCGATATGGCGTAGGCTGGTTGTGCAGGACGTGCTCTGGGCTCGCTGCCCACCATCCCTCCCTCTGCACGGCGGCTGGTGCTTTTATACCGGAGTTCGGGGGTCTCCATGTCGTCGGGGATTCCGTCGGGCCATGTACGCTCGAGAAAGTCATCGAACGCGCGGTAGGCACGGTCTCGTTCGTCTAACTTGCCTTCAGCTCTCCCCTCGGCTCTGCCACGCGCTATGCCCTCCTTCAGTCCCTCCCTCCGCCCTTCTCTCAACCCAGCTTCGCGCGCATCCCGCATAGCGATCGTATGCATGAGCTGTCTCTCCCTATCCCTCGCTCGAGCCGCAGCTTCCTCAGCCCGGTCCCGGTCCGCATCAGCGTTATCGATATTCCGCTGGGCAGCTTGAATCTCGCGCAAAGCGACTTCGAGCTGAATCTTGTATCGCTGCGTCTCTTCCTTCAGCGTCGCCATCTCCATCTCCGACCTCTGCCTCGCAACCTCATGCGCGATGACCTTGGCGTCCGACTCCCGCAGCTGCTGTCCAAGCTCGTCGGAACGCTTCTTCTCGCTCTGCAACTGGTCGGCACCGTCGTCCAACAGCTGACGCAGCTCAGATGCCTCCCATTGCCATTGCTCGACGGCGCGCTCGAGGTCTCGAACGGAGAGAGAATGTTCGCGTTCATCCCGCTTGCCTCGTGTTTTTCTCATTCGGCTCGGGAGACGACTACCCGCTGTAGGAGGTAGATCAGGTAGTGAGCGCTCGTAAGGCTCGTCGACTGGGTCACCCATGCTGATTCTCGTTCGTGGTGAAAACGCCTCCATTCTTGTGAGATTTTAGCCCTACTGTAGTAACGCGTGACCTGGATAAGACGTACCGTCAATTGACTTTGGTCTAGCTGTGCGTATGCATCGTTAAGCCAGCACACTGTGCATATTTATGCGTTTGCTAGCATTGTGAATATCGCCGAAGTAGATGCTGGTAAATACTCGAAGGGGAGACTCGAGGCAAACATCGTGGTTGCCACGCGGTCGCGTCATGGTGATTGGTCGTCGGTGTTCTATAGAAGGCGCATGTTTAGCGTGTCACCGCTGAACATGGACCTGAAGTAGAACTTCAAGGGGTAGATAAGGGTATGGTAGTGCGGTGAGTTCGGCGAAGAGGTTGCATTGTTCAATGTGGAATATGGGCTTGTCGAGTCAGAGATGCAGAACAAGGATACACATTCAGACGGCTTTACGTGAGCGACCGACTTCAACAAAGAATTCCGGGAATGTTACACGTCAATCGGTACATGTCACAATAATCTAGATATCTTTCTAGTTTGAAGGAAAGGCGCTGTACTCTTCACTGATACTGCTCTTTCTTGACTAGAACAAAGAGAATGAAATTCGGCTTTTCGGCAACTCGTTCCCATCTCTCTGCCTCAAACAGCGCTTTCGACTCTTCCGTCGGTTTAGATTCTTCAATGCGCTGGATAATCCATCCAGCATCCGTAAACGCCCTGCATATCTCGGCAAGCGATCTCCTGTAAAAGCTGATCCGAATCGTTCCCTGCTCTCCGACATCCCAGTCCTCGTGTAAGAGGGTAGGACCACTGTGGTAGGAGCCAGATTCGGGATGGTGGACCCAGTCGGCAAAAGGATGGTGAACGGAGAGGATGAACCTTCCTCTTGGTTTTAAAAGAATATGTGCGGAACCAAGCACAGGCTTCCAATCTTCGAGATAGTGCAGCGCAAGGGACGAGACAATGAGGTCGTACATCTTTGCGTCCGGTAGATGAAGCGGTCTGTTAAGGTCGTGTTCAGCCAGTGAGACACGCGGCTTCCACTCTGCCTTGATGCGCTGGGAGGCAAGATGTAGCATTTCTGAGCTTCCGTCTACACCGGTGACCGAGGCTGCGCCCTCTTCGAGCAATTTCGAACCGAGTATCATCGTACCGCAGCCTAGATCGAGCACGTCGAGTCCGGTCACGTTGCCGATGAGCTGACGCATAGCAGGGCGCTCGATGTAGCTAACCCAAGGCAATGAGTCACCACTTCAACTTTTGACAGAATGAAGAAGCAACTGCATTCCAAGAACAGATAGCAATGATACCTACGTGTTATGCAGGCTCGACTCGGTCGCATCCGTGTAGATCCTCGCGATACTGTCGTATTGTGTAGGTGCGGGTGCGGGTGCGGGTGCGGCCATGTCCAAGGTGGTCGACGAGCTGGAACATGAATCTCATGAACATGAACGGAGGAATTTCGCTCGTGCTCTCGGTGCGGAGACGTGACCCGACGCGTCCTTCATCAACGTTATTATAACACATCAAGTCTCCGGCAAACGGACCTCGTCTTCTCATGAACTATCTCCATGCTGCTGGATTTCAAGCCCTCTATTGTGCAGCATACCAACCGTATATTCTTCTGGAGAGAGAGCTTGTCACTCCTAGGCTGATCAACGCTGAGGGAGATCCCCTAACAAACCTGTCTCAGGAAACTGGTTAACTATGTGATATCCAAGAATTCGACATGGCGGGCATCGACGATCGGAGACCTGCAATCGCGCACTCCTATGCCACCTACTTATAGCCCGGCTGTGGGCCTGGATGTATGCTCACCTCCTTCGCGTTCCTCCCCCCCGTTTTCACCGCCTTCCTTTCCCCCCCTTTTATCCCCCCTTCGCCAGTTCGCACCTCGATCTCCTGACCAACCCTCTTCGCTATAATCTGCTCATCATCACCTTACTCATCAGTACAATACCAATCTTGTAACACCTCCAGCCCCTATCTCTTTTCACACAGCCTTGTTTGAATATGCCGAACTCTGTCCCGGCCCCCATGCCAACTAACGGCACCACGACCACCCAGTCGACTCGTCGTCCACATAAGACGCGCTACCAGCAGGAAGAAGAAGCGATGGGAGGGCCGATCCAGCGGCGTACGGATATCAGCTCGCACGGTAACTGGCGGTTTGGACGGATGATCGGGAAGGGAGCTTCAGGTGCGCATCGTTGTCTCACCCACGTATATGCGTTCGCTAATGACGCTATAGGTCGCGTGAAGCTTGCCCATCATATGATCACGCAGCAAGTTGCGTGCGTGAAGATCGTCCCCAAGTCTGCTATCCTCACGTCCCGCGTCTCCTTGTCTGCCATTGCAGAAGGGGTGGAGAAGGACGAGCGTCTCATGATGGCCATCGAGCGCGAAATCTGCATCATGAAGTTGATCGATCACCCTCACCTAGTGAAGCTTTTTGATGTGTTCGAGACTGATACCGACATGTTTGTCGTTTTGTGGAATGCATGAGCATATACTGATCGTGATCTTTGATAGGTACATGCTGCTTGAATACGTGCCCAATGGCGAGCTCTTCGACCATATATGCGCTCGTGGTCGTCTGCCCGTTGCCGAGGCCCTTCACTACTTCCGCCAAATTATGCGGGGCATAGACTATTGCCACCGTTTCAGTATCGCTCACCGGGATCTGAAGCCCGAAAACTTGCTTCTTGACGAGGACATGAACGTCAAAATCGCCGACTTCGGCATGGCGACCTTCCAGTGGGATGGTGCTATGCTGGAGACAAGTTGTGGCAGTCCACACTACGCCGCTCCTGAGATCATTTCCGGGAAGCCATATCACGGTTCCGCCGCTGATATCTGGTCGTGTGGCATCATCCTCCATGCCCTTCTCACTGGTCGTCTCCCTTTCGACGATCCCAACATCCGTATACTCCTGAAGAAAGTCAAGGAGGGAAAGTTTGACATGCCACGTACCATTCCGTACGAAGCGCAAGATCTGATGCGCCGCATGATTGAGACTGATCCGGAGAAGCGCATCAAAGTGAGTTCTTTCGTCCTTCCTCGTATCGCGTTGAACTAAGGAGATACATAGATGCTCGACATATTCAAGCACCCATTCTTCACTTCCGCGAATCCGCCTCTGTCATCGTTGCCGCCGGTGCCCATACCTCCTACTCGTGACGACCTCTGCCGTCCTATCTATCCAAAGTCGACTTCCGAACTTGATATCGTCAGAGGACTACGTTCTCTTTGGCGCAACCGCGACGAAGACGAGATACTGCAAGCCTTGTTCGATAGCGAAGGGAACTGGGAGAAGGTGTTTTATTGGCTGCTTTGCAAGTATCACGAGCGGCTTCGTGCACTGAGCGGAGAAGCTTCGGCCAATAGTTCAGAAGCCTCCGTCCAAAGTGACTCCACGCCCACTCCAACGAAGGGCACCCCCAATCCCGTTAGTCCCAGGAGTTCACTTGAAGTTCGTCGTCTCCAGGGTACTCCCACGCCGCCTTCTCGAGCCGTCGCACTGAACGCAACATCGAAGAAATCGACACCCGTGCCAGACGTTTCTATACCCCCCGTCCAGGCAGTTTGCCCGTCCCTCCCCGACCGAGGAACACTTCGTTCTTTCCTTCCTGTTTTCGATGAGTTTTCTGGGGACTTGCCCAAGAATGCTCCTCCATCTACTTCTCCTATGGACATTGATGTCACGGAGAAGTCCCACCAGACGTGCGAATCCGTGTCTCCGATGAAAGTCGATCCTGCGTCGTGTTCTGTCTATGCGTCCACGGTCTATGGCTCCGATGAACAATCAAGCACTACAGATGAGCCTTATATCAGCGCGATCAACGATGTCCTCGATATATGCGCTGCATCTACGCCGAAATCGGCCCAACCACGCCTGGATCTCTCGCTGCCGCACATTGAAGAACAGGCACCTCTAAGGGATGAGCTTATCGGTCTTGGATTGCACCTTGCCATGGATACGACCGTGCTATCCGACGTTAGCATGATTCATTCTCCGTCAGACAAAGAGGTTACAAAGGAGGAAGAGGCACCTGAAAATCGCCTGAGCGCGGCACTTCAGCCCCCAGCACCCTCAACTCTTCCGAGTACGGTAATGGGTCTTCGTATTCCCGACGTGCCCAAAGAGGACGTAGCCATGCAGGAATTCCTTCGTGCTTTGAAACGTAAGACGGAGGCTGCTGAGCAACCACGCACATCTGTGCCTGAGGAGGCATCAACACCATCAGCCGGAAATCGGACCGATGAGTCTACATGGATCAATGTCTCGCCTCCGCCCGCGAACGTGGATAATCGTACCAGCGCTGCAGGTTACCGTCGTCGTTCTACTGCCCCGTGTCCCCAGCCTCAGAGAACCAAGACTCTTCCACTTCCGAACGAAGGTGCATGCTCTCATGTCAAATCTCCGCGCTCGGCTCGTATCACATTCTCTCCGGACTTGACTTCTCGTGGGGAACCCGAATATCGTCCCAGTTCAAGTCATCAGCGCCGCATGACTGTGCTCTCTTACTCGACGCAACCGCGCAATCATGATCGCTCGTGCGATGGCAAGGAAAATGTGCCGTGCGAAGCAAAGCCACGCCGTAATACAGGCATTGGTTTGGGGTATGCCGGCTCTCAGGGCGACAGCGCACGGCGTGTCAGCGAGGTCCCGATGCCCGGTGCTTTCTCTGGTGACCCAATGGCTCATTGCACGGATTTCCAGAAGGCACGGTATCCTCCTCTGCCGCCTCTGCACCTGCAAAACGTGCGCACCACAATGCCTTACATGCACCCGTCTGCTCAGCACTTCCATCCCGTTCATCAGTATGGATATCAACAGCCTTCTACTTTGTTCTCTCCTCCGCCTTCGCGCTTCGGCTCCCCACCTCTGTCCGGTCAGTCTGCCCAGTATCCGTTCCCAGCTTCTCAGTCACCGCCTCTGCCCACCCCGGTATCTTCTATGGGATCGGAAAATAAGGTCAACTGGCTTGCAAATCTTTTCCGAGGCAAAGGGGAGCGGTATCACTTGACCTCGTCCATGGGCATCATCGATACGAGGGCTGAATGTCATCGCCTACTCCGGAGCATGGAGGTGTATACGATGATTGAAGAGGAGGGTGCTGGAAGCGGAAGCTGGGCTCTTAAGTGCTGGACGACTGAGTCTCTTACGTCTCCGTGGTTCAAGCCTGTCAAGTTCAGAATCCAATTCAGCGGGGCGGGCCAATCCCTCACGCCTCCTGGTTCCAACCCTTTGTTGACTCCTCTGACTCCCTCGGTTGCTGCATCTCCTGATCCTAATCAGAACTTCAGCGGTCCGACTGTAATGACTTTCGCTCTAGAGAGGGGTGCTTCTGCGACGCTTCGTGCTGTGTTTGCTCGTCTTCGTGCGGAGTGGAGTGGTGCGAACGTCATCAGAAGTCCTGATCTTGGAGCCACGACCGGCCTCGGTATCGGTGGATTTGTCGGCAATGCCGGCTATGTTCCTGTGTATGAGTAATCCGCGCCTCGAACCGCGCCTCGAACTGCTTGACCACCGGTTTGTACGTTGTGTACGAGTAGACCCTTCTTGGAGTACTTCGCCCCACCACGATCACCACCATATGCCTACTTTGCACTTCTCAGCTTTTCCTTGTATCATTATGACTGCATGCGGAGCATCGAGCCTCTGCCCACTTTTCACGCACAATATGGAAGGATAGGATACATCCAAATCATGTTTATACGCAGCGATATATTGTAGCATTCCTAGAACACTCTCAGCGTAATGAACACATTTCGAAACAGGATTCGTGACCGAAGCCAGCGGCGCTGAGCGACGTTGCTAAGTTGGCCGTTGATGCAGGGAATTGGTGCAGTAAGCTTGCTCCTCCCAACGCAGAATCAAAGATTGTGGCAGATTGTGATACTTGGCTCGGAAGGGGCAAACGGAGATGATCTCTGAATAGGATAGCCAGTCATGGAGAACCATTGGTTGAACACAGTGCAGCAACGAGAAGAAACCCGTACGGATCAGAGACTGCCAGTGAAGCACACTGGTCTGAACAGGGACCAAGCAAGTTCGGATTTGAGCTGGTGCTGATAGCGGACTCGGACTGTACCGCGGCAGGCACCCAGTCTGCTTAGTAAGACGTCTCCTTGCGCGAGTGTGGGGGATGGAGGGGAGCTTCCGCGGCCGGTGGAGATGAACTCGCGATCGGAGTGTTCTGGCTGGAGGGGAGAGGAAGGAGAGGATAGAGGTTGTCCGAGAGCAGGGGTCAAGTCCGTCAGAAGTAGGTATGCTCGTAGCGCATAAGACAAGATAGCGAGGGGTTGTGCTCCTCTAGCGAGTGCGAGACAGGACCCAAGGGAGGAAAAGTAGATCAGAACTGGAAGAACAGATCCCTGCATGAGCGTGAGCATGAGCGTTAGCTCAAAGGAACGGGTTCTTGCAGAATCAGGGACAGGCGAGCGTGAACAAGAACAGAGAAATTCTCAGAACAAGGTTCGAGGGTGGGAAGTACTCTTGTTGACTGGTTGTGGTCTGTGGAGAGCGAGAGGGGAAGAGGAGGGGAAGGGCAGCACGAGGGAGAGCATCAGCTACTGTAGAGGGATGAAACATGTGCATGCCAGTGAGGAGCAAGTGACGCTTTGTGTTGTTGATGCTGATGTTGGTTGCTGACGCTGACTCTGTACCTGTGCTGAAGGGTAGGCTATGACCTACAGCAGGGCTGGAGGTACGAGGAGGGCAAGGGGTTGGAGTTGGGATGATTTTGAACTTGCAGAGAGGGGGTGGGTTATGATGGAAGATGCAAGAGCGAGTGGAACGAGGGCGAGTGAGAGGGAATCAAACGCACCCGGAAATGCAAGAATAAGAAATACAAAATGGGAAAGAGAAGGCACGAGTGATGGATTCAGCGAGCGGGGTTATGTATGCCGGGGGGGTTGATGGTCTGTGCGCTGGAAGCGGGAAGCGTAAAGTGGGAAGCGAGAAGAAGTGAGAAGCAAGAAGCACGACGCACAACACAAGTAGGAAACGGTTCCAGCTTCTGGCCAGAAGGTGAACGTGCGTGCGATATCATATTGATATCGTCTGTGTTGTGTTCGTTTGGTTTAGGTGGTGGGTATTATGGAGGTGTTCGGGCAGTCGGAAGAGAGAGAGGAAGTGGAAGTGGAAGTGGAAGTGGAAGTGGAAGGGAGAACGTTCACAGTGGAAGAGTAGAAGAGTGGGAGTTGCTGGCATACAGTAGGTCTTTCTGTTCGTGTCCTATACTGTATAGGAAGCATGAAGTCCGTGTTTTCCAGGAGGACAGGAGCGTGGGCGTTAACTGATCTCTCTTGAAGAAGTGGAGGGGTTTGCCAGCGTTTCCTTTTCCTTTTCCATTGCGTATGCGTATGCGCTTCTGTCTGCAATTGCGTTTGTGTCGGCGGTTGCGTTCGTGTTCCTCCACTGTCCGTTACCGTCTTCGACCGGGAGAGAGTACAGCAAATGCAAGCCAAAACCCACCAAAATCAGTCAGTAAAAATAACAACTGCTAATGCTAATAAAAGGAAAGACACTTCGGCCCAGGAATCGCCGTTCCCGAACCTATCCCCCAGCTGTCTTACCCCCAGAACGCCAAGGGGAGTCCGGTCCCCACTTTCCGGGGTTTTACACGCGGGGCATGCGCACGGGTGTTCCGGCTTGTCCTCGGCCGGGAGAGCGCTTTCCCTTTACTTTTAGTTTGCTGAGATGAGGGACACGTGAGGGTTTGGGCGGGGCGGCAAGTTAAATCGTGCGAATACTAGTACTGGTGGGGTGTGGGTGTCGGGTTCCGCACCGTGGCGAATATCACTCAGGGGACTGGGGCCGGGGATGCCCCGGCTGCGCAGTGTTTAGAACCGATCGAGGAAAAGTGGTGGAGGTGACTGTTCTCTTTCCGGGGATCGTGACTGGAAGATATCGATGTAAAGTTGGAAAGAGGTGATTGGCTGAATTTCGGCCGATGTGCCGGGGGCCGGGCGGGGCGGGGGTAGTAGGGCGGATGGGCGGGAGTTGGGGGAGGGGGAGTTGGGGGGAGGGGGATGATGCTGGCAGGGAGTGATAGACGTCGACGTTGGTTGTTGCTGATTTGCTGTAGATGTTAAAGATGCGTTATGTTGTGTGTTATCATATATGTTACTATAGACTATGTTATGCTAGGATGTACAGGAGGGCGGCACAGTCAGCTTGCAAGGGGGAGAGCAGGAGTACCCTGAGAGAGAGAGATGCCGCCCCCCATACAACCCCGGCCTCTTCCCTCTCTCTCTCACTCTCCCTCTCCAACTCTACATAAACCGCCACTCTAACTCTTCACTCTTCCCATTCTAACCCTCTTCACTCGACATACACCATACACAAAGTAAACAAACTACGACTCCCCACATCACACCACTCCACACCGCCGCTCCACTCCCGCCCCACACAGCATGCCCCCATCACCTCCCTCACCCGCTCCCTCCTCCCTCCCTCCCCTTCCCTCATTCACCACTCCCACTCAACAACACGCCCCCGCCGCCTCCCTCGCCCAGCTCCTCTCCGCCTCTTATACAGAACTCGACTCTCTCCGCACTGCCCTCTCACACGAGAAACGGCGTGCTGACCGTGCAGAAAAACTCTTGGCTCAATGTACAGATTCTGACCAGTCACAAGCTGCGCGGAGGTATGCAGAGATCGAGGCTCGCGCGGAGAGAGCGGAGAGAGCGAGGGAGGAGATGGACGCTAGGCTGGGGATGATGCGAGGCGCGTGGGCCAGGTTGGAAAGGTATCATGCGATGCTCGAAGTGAGGAGTGCGGATGCTCGCGCAGAGTTTGCGAGGAATTTCAGGGATGTAGTCGATGATCCCACCGGCGCCCACTCGCACTCGCACTCCCACCCAATCCAGGCTCAGCCGGGTCATGTCGCCAGTGCGGGTGCGGGGAAATCAAAGTCTGCGTCTGTGTCGCCGAGCAAACCCATCCCCGCTTCATCCCTCCTCGCATCCTCTTCTTCCTCGAGCGAGCTCATCTCCGACCCGAGGCGTACAGCGCTCCCCTTCCCTTCTGCCCCTCCCGCACACGTATACGCCCACGCTCTCTCCCAGGGCATACCCCAAGTGCGCCGGAGAACGGACTCAGTCACTTCGACTCTTGGGCAGCCGGCTGCTAAGCGCCCTAGAGGGGAAGGCTGGGAATATGCGCAGAGCACTGCGAGTGCCCATAGTGCTAGTGCTGGGAGCGCGAGCGGGAGTGGAGGGCATACCCAGCCAGGGACGACAGTCCCCCAACTGACTCGGGGGCTGGCGAACGCCATCCCCCTCACGAGTGGGCCTGCGAGATCGTATCTCGAAACAAAGGGGAGGGACTTGGCTAAGGAGAAAGAACGGGAGTTGTTGAGAGAGAAGGAGGAGGAGGAGAAGGAGAAGGATATGCAGATGCAGATGCAGGGCGAGGTTGAGAGAGAAGTTGAGCGGCTGTCGAAGAGGACGGGGAAGCATGGGCCGGCTTTGGTCGCTCCCACTTCGACGGGTGCTGTTCCTCCCGCTGTCGCTGTTGCAGGCGCTGCTTTTGGTAACGGTGGCGGCGGCGGTGGTGGTGGTATGGGTGGAACTGCGACCGGTGCAAACGGCAACCCCCGTGCGTCAAGCCCCAGAACTCCAATCACAATCTCAGAACAAAGGACGAGCATGAGTATGAGTATGAGTCATTCAGAGTCGAGCTTGCGTTCCCCCCTTGCCCCTCTCCCTGCGGCTGCGGCTGCGGCTGGCATTGCTCGTCCGCTTGGGGAAGACGAGAATATGGACGGCCAGTTGGATCAGGCGGATGTTGGATTGGGATCACAGCCAGAGGAAGATATGGAGATGGAGATGGATGTGCACGAGGATGTGGGCGTGGGCACGAACGGGAAGGGGGAGACGGAGATGTCCGACGAACAGGAACCGATCACTGAACTGGAACTGGAACTGGAGAGCGAAGAGGATTTGGACGAGATGATCCTCGCTGCTGCTGACCCTTCCCGAGCTCGCCGTTCGCGGTCGAGATCGAGGTCGCGTTCCCGGTCGCGTTCTCGTTCGCAATCTGGGTCGGGGTCGTATCCTTATGCGGGGGCGAAACGGAAAACTAGGGGTTCGCAGTTGTCTCATTCTGGGCGTGCGACGCCTGGTCTTCCCCCCAACCTCAGCAACACCTACCCCAACAGCAACGCCCACCCCAGTGCCCTCCCAGCGGACGACCCCAAACCCCTCACCCTCAAGCCCATCGCCGGCCCCCCCGGAACACTCAACAGCCGAGGTGAACGATGTTGCTTACAATGTGGGTTGAGGGGCAAGTATAAGGATGGGAAGTGTGTGGAGAAGTGGGGTCCGGGGCCTAGGGGGCCTGGGACTGTGTGTGATAAGTGCGTCTCTTAGCTTTTTTCGCTTTGGAGCCTGTTGGGCTGGGGTTCCCTCGGTTTGGAACGTGTGGCTGACGTCCTGCAGGTGTAGGAAAAAGATCAGAAGGACTGAAAGGAGGGACGGTGTCGCTTCCCAGCCGTCTTCCCAATCTCAATCTCAGTCCCAATCTCAGCCTCAGCCTCAGTCCCAGTCGCAATCTCAGCCGCTCCCAGGCACAGGCGCCGGCGCAAGCGGAGGATCGAACCTCTCCGCCTCCTCTGTCTCCCTTTCTGCAAGCTCAACACTCGCTAGTATCAGTGTTGACTCCCAAATCCAACCCCAGTCTCAGTCTCAGTCTCAGTCTCAGACTGGCGAACACTCGCTCACGCGAGAAACGTTTAGCAACGAGCTGTCCTCCCAGCCCCTTGTGGGCACTGCCTCAGGCAAACCAAACACGAACACAACTACGAACGCAGGTACGAACACGAACGGGCACGTTGGTCCCATCCGCAGAACACAGGATCTTCCACGATCCCAGTCCCAGTCCCAGTCCCAATCGCAAACGCAAACGCAAACGTTCCCCTCCCTCCCTCCGGCGCCTACGACCCGCACTCCAGTATCGGACGTCCGTTCCGCTCCAGGACCAGGGAGGTACACCCCCGCCCCCGCCCCTGCCTCTGGGCCGGCTTACGCCTCCTCCACTTCCTCGGGCTCGTCAGTCCGAGAAAGTCGGGAAGGGTGGGAAGAAAGGGAAATGCGGGCTTTTGGCCAGGGGTGGGCTAACCCTAACCCCCATCCTCGGCCTGCTCTATCAGTTCCGATTCCGCTTGCTGTACCGTCTTCTCTTCCTGTTCCTGCTGGTGTAGGAGTGGGAGTTGGGTATGCAGCGGGAGAGGTGAAGCAGGAACAACATGTTGTTACACTTCTTTAGCGAGGAGATTGGATGGGATTTGAGGAGTTTCAGGATGCATAAGGCGTAAGGCATAAGGTATAGGGCATGGGGCATGGGCATGGCATAGGGTTGTACAGTAGGGTTATGCATAGGAATCTTTATTTCGATACGACTGTTGGGCCGAGCGAGGGGAGAGGACGCGGAAGAGACAGGGACTCGCCGGTTTGGAAATGGGAACTGAGGAAGAGGAGCGAGGACTATGTTCCTGTTCCTCATCTTGAGCTTGAGCTTGGATACTGAACTGTGGTCATTATTGGCAATCGGGACCTTTAGTCGGAAAGGATGCCATTTTAGTAGTCCTAGGGCTATGGAGAGAATCGGCCTGAGATACTGTACGTTAAGCGCTAGCGCGCTGCAAGGTGAACTTTTGCCCGGGGACACGAGTTGGCCTTTTCTCTTTGCTTTTTGTGTCACATTTTGTACACGTGTCGCAGATGATACGTACGGACCGGGAACCCCAGGACAGTTGGTGTACTGTACCTGTTCTGCCAAAGACGCGAGCGGTACAGCACGTACGTGTTGGCTTTGGTCTTGCTCGCCCCGGGCATGGGTAATTGCACTTGTGCAAGAACCCCAAATAGTGCGTGGAAGTTGGTACGAACTAGGCTGGATCCTATTTCCCAAGATGGCGCCAGTGTTGAAGCACCCTACGTATGTTGACTTGGTCTTGCTCGTCTCGGACATGGGACACACGGAGTTGATCTTGTGCAGTGCTCAGTAAAAGTACGAGTCGGTGGGAAGGGAATGGACCTGCTTGTTAGGGAATTGATAAGAGGGGAACGGTGGGTTATGCACTGCTAGAGGATGGCCGGGGTGAGAAGGAAGCCTTGAGGGAACTGGTGAGGGTTAACGGTCCTTGCCATTTTAGAACAAGTCCTCGGGAGATGCGAAGCCGTTGTGTGCTCGGTAGAGTTGCTTGATTGGTAGGAAATGAAACCCGGCGCATCGTGCACGACATATGGAAGGCTGGAACTACGGGTACTGATAGGCGCTGGGATAGCTTCTCACCTAGGCATATCTTTATTTACCCGAGGAAATACTCAATGTACTCGAGAATAATAGACACTCTCCGACCGCGGATATTTAGCCTTAAATCCCGAGGTGGAACAGGATAACCCGGAGAAGATGAGGTCAACGGAACACTGCCCTGCAGCACTGCATTCCTCAACATTCTCCTGGGAGACAGGGAGCATCAGGGACTCTCTCTGACATCAAGCATGAGTCTTATCACTGCACGTATGCACTCCTGATGTTGTATATAACACTGGCAAGTTAGACATCGACTAGACACCCACGACGACGACGACAACTGCGCCGCACAAACTTGTCCCTCTACAACTGCCCTACACTCTTAAATCACATATTCATACCTAAAGATGGCCCCTGCTACCGCAGAGGCGATAGCCGCCCGTGCTAAGGAGGTCCGCCTCTTCCTCTGATTTGCCTTGCGAGACTAAGCAGAGGAACAGCACCAAGATATCCTGGATGAGCTCGCTACGCTCGAATATGCCCCTGCTGCGTTGAGGGATAACGAAGCGGCTATCAAGAGCTTGACTGAGAGGATCGACGCCAGCAGCCAGCAGATCATCGTTTTGCATAAGAAGACGTGCGCTTCTAGTTCGACCGCGAATAGAGCTGACCGCTCCGTAGGAACCGAGAACACAAGGATTTTGCTAAACTGCAGAATAGCGCTGGACGTAGGCTGTGGGTCAAGATCAAGCATGGAGGGAAGAAGGACGCGGTAGAGAAGAAGCTCGAGAAGGAGGAACGCGAGTTCCTCGAAGCGCTCGAGCAGGAGCAAGCGGCCGAGGAGGTCAGAGCGGCAATGCAAACGGAGAAGGACAGCTTAGCAAGCAAGGTGTGTTCCCCTTCCGTGCGCGGGAGACGTATCTAATAAGCAACAGAATCCGGAACTGCAGCAGAAGGCGGGAAGGCACAAACAGCTCAAGACGAAGCTAGAATTGCTGTACCGCAGTTTGTTCGAGGGGTTCACTCCCGATTATCCGTATGAGGACGAAGCCGAGGAGAGGGTCCGGCAAGCAGAGGACGCGAACACGAACGTATGTCGGTTTCCGGAACCTCATCGAGCCTCAATTGACGCGATATCAGTTCCAGACCATTGTAAACCGTGAATCCCAGGTTATGACACTCCTCACCAGTGCTAAGACATGTCTAAACAACACCACCGATCTCCTACACACTGCCCAGGGTTGGAACTACA